CAGGCAAAGGGCCCGGCATCGGCTTCGACGTGCGAACCCGCTTCTGGGCAGCACTGCACGCTCTGACCACTGCTCCCCGGTAGACGGTCAAGGTGAGGGCAGCACAGGGCATCCCGTTCTGGTCTCGGATCGCCAGCACCTGTGGAGCGGCCTCGTTGCAGCACGGACGGTAGGACTCCACCTCCGTCAGCCCGTCTGGTTGCCCGCACAGCTCTGCCACCCTCTTGCAAAGTTTCCTCTGCGACTCGCTCCACATCTGGAATCGGCTCACACGGGCCCTTGAAAGCTGTGCATTCCGTCTCGCTACAGCTAAGAGATGTTCGCGCTCATTCCAGAGATTGCTGGATGCAACGCCATTCTCCACGGTGGCGGGGCTCAGGATTCCCTCTTCGCATCGTGTGTGCCGGATCAGTTGCCTCATGGCCGGCGTCATGAACCGAATCCTCTCCAAGCAAGCTTTTTCTCCCTCGTAGCTGGGAGAGTCCACGTCGAACACGGCTCGCTTGGAAGCCAAAGCTTGCTTCAGCACCTGAACTAAGGTCAAAGGCACTGTGGCAGCACAATCCTCGTCCTCGGGCCCAGGCACGGCCTCCATGTCCGGAGGTGCCTCGCTCTCCGGTGGTCTGGGCTCCTCAGCGACACCCTGCTCCTCCTTTCGCAGCAAGTCTTGCAACTCTTCGTGAGCAGAGGCTCTGTCGGCAACGGTCTGGATCAGCTGGCAGTCCGCTTCGTGGCCTATCTCGGGGACTTCCGAGATCTCCTCCGAAACTTCCTCGAGACCTCCGGGGTCTTCGAAGGCATAGTCCACGAAGTCGTCAGGGACCTCCGGGCAAACTGCTCCAAAGAACTTGAAGCCCTTCTCGCCGAACCACTGGTTGAAGATGTAGTACACCTCGTCCACAGTCTGGTCCACGCAGCAGAAAGAAAAGAACTGGAGGGATGCCGCACATGCCCGAGAGCTGCACTTGGCGATGGCCTCCCTGGTGAGCGGCTGCGGCGAAGGGCCGGCACGTTCAAGCTCCTCACCTGTGACTTGTCGCAGGCTCTGCAGCTCATGCAGCACACACCTGGCAGTACCAGTCACCGCGTCGCGAACCGACGGCGAACCTCGAAAGGGCCGCTTCAGCAAGGAAAAGTAGGCCTCGATCCCGTACTCCTGACAGATCGCCGGTTCGATCTGGCTCAAGGCCGAGGTGACGGCATGTGCCGCGAGGAGGCAGCAGTTCTTGATGGTCTGCGCCGAAAGGGATCGTCCGGACCACTTCTTGCCGTACACGTGCTGGTTGAAGCAGGTGTGTAAGGCCAATAAGTAGTAGACCGTAAAGGCATTCTCGGTCTGCTGAAGCCTGCTGAATCCACGGCTGGCCGTGCTGCAAGAGGCTTGCAGGGCAGACAGGAATGATGCTAGGTGCAGGCCGTGTGTAAAGCACGATCGCTTGAGATATGGCGGGCTCAACCGGAACACTGCTGCTTTATCGCTCATCATATCGGCACCTGAGTAGATTTTCCCCGGCAGGCCGTGGTTCAAGAGGACGGAGTGGTCGATCCAGACCGACCCGAATGTTATCTTCTTGTTGCAAGACAACATCTGGAGACTGTACCGTTTCTGTACGTGATACCCGCCGTTAAACCCACACATCACGAAGCTTGCAGCTTTGAGTTTGGACGTGTATTCGAGGAATCCAAACGGCCAATACTTGATGTCGGGGATGCGATGCACCTGACGAACCCACCCCTCGCGACCGAGGACCCCTGAGCATCCCTGCTACATGTAACATGATGCAACTTTTCTTCATCAAGGGTCCTTGCAATGCTGAAAGAACGGCAACCCGGACCAGGACTCGGCGGCTAGAATGCCGGCAAAGAGAGCATTGACGAGGCTGTTGAGGGTAGAGCCGTCGAAGGCTACGGATGCTGGCGGGAGGCCACCAGAAGCCTCGGTAGCTCCATGCAGGAAGTCACCCAGGAGCCGAAGCATCTCATCCGCTGAGCTTCCGCCGTGGCAGCGGGGCAAGCAACAAGCGTCCACCCAGTGCTGGCGGTTGTCCGTCCGCTGAACCTGGAGATCTGGCACTGAAGGGGATGGCTTTTGATGACCTGGATTAGACAGTCGTACTATGCCTTATGTATCCTTATGTAAAGGTCCAGGGAGCAACAAAGTGGAGGGTCAGGCGTGCAAGCTCGTCCTGAGGGATGCTGCCATGCCAGGTGTCCGCGGAGATCATGTGCATGGTCTCAGACGGGTGCTGCTTCCACGCACCACCCACCAGGAAGTCCGCCGTGTCCCTCATGTGCCTCACCTGCTCGAAGCTTGGGGCCCAGACCGTCTCGTCGATCATGATATGCACGCGACGGTTCACCGCATGAAGTATGGACGTCGCCCTGGAAAAGCTGTCCTTCAACTGCTCGAGGGAGGACAGGCTCCCGAAGAACGGTGGGAAGATAGGGGCATCGAGGGTCGTCTTCGGAAGACCACGAGGATTGACCTTGAAGGTTTTCAAGAGCCCGTCCCACTCCTTCGTTCGCCCCAGGACCTGCAGAGCCTGTGCCACACCCTCCAGATCATCGATGTGTCGCACACTCCCGGGTCGCGCCAGCTCTTTCTTCGTTTGCATGAGGAAGGAGGTGGTGAGAGCACTGACCAAGGCGTCGCCTCTCAATGCCCCCGCCGCCACTCGGCTTGCGAGCTCTAGGTCTAGAGCACGTGCTCGTCCTTGCAGAACAGCGGTGGATAAGGCCGAGGTAAGTGCTGTATGTGCTGCTGCCTCCGTGTCCGTGTTGAAGTGCACGGGGGCCTTCGTCAGGTGGGTCGACAGGTAGTCCTTGAAGGAGGCACTCAGTCTCCGATGCGGGATGGACTCAAACCGCTGCCGAATCCGCTTCGCCAGCTGGAGCGGGGACTTCACTCGGGCCAAGCCGTCTAATCCGTCCCCGGCTAGACCGAGGACAATGTACTCTTGCTGTCGCATGGCGCCGATGAACAGCTCCGCCTCCGTCATGCCCTCATGCAAGGCCTTCCATGCCAACTCGCACAAGTCCATGTCGTAGCAGCGGGCCCCGATCGCTGATTTCAAGGCCTTGGCATTGGCGGCTTTCAAGCAGGCCCCACAGGCATGCTGCACGGTGCAGCATCGCCCGCTGCAGCTTGTCGACCTCGCGTGCACCAGGTCGCCCGAGACTTCGAAGGTGGCATCCCTGAGCGGGTCCGACTCATCCGCAGCATACACCATCCGAGGCATGCCAGCCTGTGCCCATCTTTGGATGCATCCCAGCATGGGTCGCAATGGACTCGTTGGAGCCTCTGGTTGAACACCATGACAACGACCGTCAGCCTCGGGGGGCTTGTCCTCCACTGCCCCAGGTTTTGCCTCCACGAGGCCCATTCTCTCGAGGCCTTTGCCGTGTGTCGCTCCTCTTTCATGCTTGTACAGCTTTTCTATATCTGTCGTGCGACAGAATTTTATGTCCCGCTCGCAGGCGAGGCATCGATAGGTGACAGACTTGGTGTAACTGCCAGCGGTCTCGGTGTACACGGCTCGACGGTGTTCTGCTAGGAACCTTCGAAGGTCAAACCCTGGCTCCTGCTGCTCCAGGCCCTTCCTGGGCCTACCCTTGGGCTTCGGGGCTGGCCTGGCAGGGTCGGCCTCTTCCGTCGGAGGTCTCGGCTTCTCGCTCACGGGCACCAGAGCCAGCCGGGCTGATTTCTCAAGAGGCGCAGGCACTGCGACTGTGGTATCGCCACAGCCCAGCAGGTCTTCCCGCAGACGGGAACAGCAACGGCAAGCCAAGGGCAGATCAGACTGGGCCAGTGCACACAGGAAGCTGCGCCAGTGCCCTCGTGGAGCATCCTCAGACATCTCACCATGTGCACGCTGGAAGCCTGTGTGTGTGAAGCCTTTCTCGTGAGTTATGCGACCTCCTTCCTTTTCGAGAGCTTTCAGGTTCACCGTCTCATGCTGCTTGGCCTGGTTGACCTTTGGTTTCGCCTTTGCGGCGAGTCTGGAGGCCCTAGAACCTTTCCGGACAGGGGATGCAGCATCAGAGGAGCCTTCCGAAGCGTCTTGAGCCAGCTGCTGCCGGGTCCGCTTCTTCTTGCCAGGAGTCTCGGGCTCATCGTCCCCACCATCATCGTCTATGAGAGAAGGAGGAGCAGGCAGCTCGCTTGTTGGTGGCTGCGAAGGGATTACCGGGGCTGCGGTCCGTGGCTCACTCTTGGGCTGCCGCTGTATTTCCCGGATCTCGGTCTTGGGCTCCTTCTTGGGCTCGGAAGGATCCGTGTGGGTCCACTCCTTCTTGATCTTGCGGAGACGCCTTGAGGACTTCACCAGGCCAAGCACTTCACTCTCTCCCAAGTCAGTGATGGTCATTGGCAGGGCCCCACATCTGCTGACCTCTCCCAAGATGTAGTCGGCCAGCAGAATGCATCGGTGGCCACAGCTCCAAGGATCCAGCTGCACCGGGACATCGGCTCGACGAAGCACAGGAGGCTGACTCAACCAGCCTCTTTCCTCGAGGTGCAGGAGAAAGGCAGCAGCATGGTTCCAGCATGTCTCGTCAGACAGGCTGTCGTAAACGACCGCCTGGGCTTCAGCAGCTTCCGTCCTCTGAACAGCAAGAAGGCTCCAGTGGGATTTTGAGTGCAGGAGAGCAAGCAGCAACGGCGCACGAAACTGTCCATCTAGGCATCTCGCCCATTGTTCGTCGTCCGCACTGACAAGAGCCACCTTCTGCGGCCAGGCCTCCTTGTGCCAGAGTGCACACATGCCTGCCACGCCAGACAACACCTGGACGAAGTTCAGCTGGCCCTCAACGAGCTCACCAGGAACAAGGCCCTTGGTCAGCAACTCTACCACGGCCATGCCGGACATGACCCTCATGCTCTCCAGCCGACCCTTCATGTCGGACCGGAACTGATCGGGCACGAGGACGCCCTGCTCCAGAAGATCCTTCATGTGCAGCAGAATGTCCGGCTGCACCGATCCCGGTTCTGGCGCGGCAGGGAGGCTGTAGCTGGGGGCGTACTGTTTCCAGGCGGCTGGGGCACTTTCCACACACCTCTGACAGTCATCCGGCAGCCACCTTCTCATCTCTGAAGCACCCAAGCTGCACCAAGCACGGGTGCCGCCGCTCAGAGAGTACTGCATGCAAGCTGCGAACTCCAGCTCGGCACAGTCTACTGCATCTCTGGCAGCCTCAGGAGTGAAGTGCTGGAAGATGACTTGCCTGGCCTTCTCCGGAAGCTCTATCCTTAGAGCTCCGACAAGATAACCCTCTTGGCCGAACACGCTTCAGCAGACAAAGTGAACACACAACTGACAAAACATGGTCAGTTAGAAATGTACAGAACGTCCAGACCCAGGCGCACAAGCCGCCTCGCACGATCACCCAAAGCCTGCTCCTCCACGTACTCCCAGAAGACTTGCCAGGGACGGCGAACACGGCTCTGCTGCAGAACTTCCCCAACCTGGCCGGAGACGGGAAATTGGTCGGAGGGGGGGGGTTCGAGTTGGCATTTTCAGAACCCCTACACAGGAACCGTGGGGTGCCCCCCCCCTGTCGCAGACTAATAACATCTTTTAAACTCTAGTAACACTGTCTCATCGGTGTTTGCATGGCCTTGCTTTAGAACAAGATAGAACCAGCTAAATTGGTCCCGGCAGGGGGGTTCCACCTGGCGTTTTCGAGGACCCTTTCGCAGGAACCGTGGGGTCCCCCCCCCCTCCACGAGACCAATAAAACATGCCCCAACCGTGCCCAACATCTCAGCAGCCCACTTACCCCACCAAACCGTACCAAACCCCAGGAGCCATCCAGCCTGGAAATTGGTCCCTGTGGGAGGTTCCACCTGGCGTTTTCGAAGACCCTTTCGCAGGAACCGTGGGGTCACCCCCCCCCCCAACGAGACCAATACAACATGCCCCAACCATGCCGTTTGTGTGGCTCTTCTATCCAGCCCCCAAATTGGTCTCTGTGGGGGGTTCCGCCTAGTGTTTTCGAGGCCCCTTCCCTAGGAACCGTGGGGTCACCCCCCCCTAACGAGACCAATAAAACATGCCCCAAGCTCTGGGTTTGGTGTGTGCCATTGTGTGCCTCTTCCAGGCTAGCTTTGTTAGAAGCAATTACATTCTCTTATTTCACAAGCCCACTTATATACCCACCCAACAGCCCGGAAATTGGTCCCGGTGGAGGCTTCTGCCTGGCGTTTTCGATGACCCTTCCGCTGGGACCGTGGGGTCCCCCCCCCAAGGAGACCAATACATTATAATACATTCACACGTGGAGCTTGCTAGAGCGATTCCCCAGTCACCACACCGAGCAAGGCAACCGTAGCCCCCGGAATTGATCTTGGTTGGGGGGGGTACCTAGCGTTCTCGAGGACCCCTCCACAGGAACCGTGGGGTCCCCCCCCCGGCACAGACCAATAGAAGCAGCAGGCAGGATGCCCTCTAGATTGCTCTTGACATGGTCTGAGTTGCCAGTCCATCATTCAAAAGCCCATCTGCCTGCATCTCCGTCTTCACTGACACTGGCTCCGTCTTCGGGTTTAGTGGCACTGCCTCGGAGTTCAGATTTTTTTTTTCCCTCACACCTTTTTA